CACTCCCCCCAGCCTCCAGCGTGACGCTCATTAGCGCGCTATCTGCCACCCTGCGACTCCGAGCCGCCGTTTTCATTCACTCCATCCTGCTCGCTTGCTGGCAACAAACTAACTTGCATCATTTAGAAAGACAAAGCGCGATTTTCGGGAGAAATGCAACTTCTTTTTTTTTTCATCTCCCACCCACTTTATTAGAAATGTTTTCTTGTAAAAATAGGACTTTTTCATGGTGACTTTTCTCTTCCAAAAATAAAAACACTACTCAGATAATAGAAGTGTTTTCATCAAAGAATAGGACTTTATTCTTGTAAATCCGTAAGACTCCAAAAATCAGACTCTATTCTCACAATTACGTGACTTTTTCTAAAAAAGCAAAAATGACGACTTTGGAAATAATGACCAAATGTCATTCTCGGAAGATGACGACTATTTTGGCCAAAATATAAGACTTGATTCTCGTAAGAGTACGGTTTGACATTTTTCGATGAAGGGAAAAAAAAAAAACCTCAAAGGACACCCAAAAGATGTTTTCCCCCCAAGATTATTCAAATGCTTTTCCTGAATAAATCCTCTTCCGTGTTGGCCTGGTCGCTTGGCTCTCCGCTGTCACTTGTCACAGGCTCGGCCCACGGCGCAGCGGTACAAATTACCCCGGAGGCCACGGGGCACGAATTAATTGCTCAGGGAGGTTTGCATATGGCCGCCGGAGTGACGCTCGCCGATGGAGCACCTTGCCGCGAGTGCGCGCGTGCGCTAACGCGACAGGTGGGCGGGCCTTCCTCGGCGCACCGGGCACCCGTGGCGGCTTTGTCATCGGCGGCGGCGTTTTGTCCGTGCCGGCTCGGCTCGACTCGCAGCGCGCGCTTGCCGGCATCTCGGGCCGAGCGAAGCGTCTAAACTCATTTTGTCTCCGACTGTCATTCTGGCTGCTGGAGGCCCCGCAGGTGAGTCGCCAGGAGCGAGGAGGAGGAGGAGGCACGTGACGAGCCAACTGGCTGGCAAATTGACTCAACGGTCTCCTTTAATCGCTCACCGTTAGCGCGTCTTCGCCTTGCGTACAGCCCCCCCCCGCTACTCAGAGGGAAAGGGGCCGCGCTCTGGCACGCCAATTGCAAAAAGTGCCGGCTGACTGACGAATAAATAGATCGAAATATAGCTCTATATATCGAGAGAGAGACAGAGAGAGAGATACTTTTCTTTTTTGGTTTCTGTTTTCTTGGGGGGGGGCGGTGTTCCCTAATCATAAAATGAAACATACAAAATATTTGTATTATTATTATTGAACAAATAATGGCAACAAAACCGCAACTCGATAAATCTGAGGCTGCTGAAACTTATTTTCAGCAACATGATTACATTTGAAATA